AACCTAGATGCCCTTCAATAGATGGATGGATAAAGAAAGTGATCTATCTGTCTATCTATCTGTCTATCTACACACACACACACACACACACACACACACACACACACACGAATATTACTCAGCATTAAAAGAGAATAAAATTATAGCATTTACAGGTAAATGGATGGAGTTGGAGAATATCATGCTACGCAAAGTAAGCCGATTCCAAAAAAGCAAAGGCTGAACATTTTCTCTGATGAGTGGATGCTGATCTACAATTGCCGGAGGGGACCTGGGAAGAATGGAGGAACTTTGGATTGGGCATGGGGGAGGGGTATAGGGGAGGGGACACGGGGGTAGGAAAGATGGTGGAATGAGAAGGACATCATTACCCTAGGTACATGTAATGATTGCACAAATGGTACCATTCTACAGCATACACAACCAGAGAAATGAAAAATTGTGCTCCCTTTGTGTACAATGATACAAAATGCATTCGGCCATCATGTTTAACTAATTAGAAAAAATAAAATGTTAAAAAAAGGAGTTTGTGCTAGAGAGATGTATTTGAGTGTCATTGTAGATAGATAAGTAGATGAGATTGTCTAGGGCAAATGGTTTTCCAAATGTGTTTCCTCCTACTAGCAGCATCTGCACCACCTGGGAGCTTGTTAGAAATGCAAATTTTTAGGCCCTGTCTTAGACCTGAGTCAGAAACTTGGGGTAGGCCCAGAAATCTATGTTTCAAGGAACTATCCAGGTGATGATGGTGCACACTGAAGTTTGAGAGCTCCTGGTCTAGGGAGAGAGAATGGAGTGAGAAGAATTTGGGCTGAAATTGCACCTTGTAGAGGTCTAACTTCTAAGGAGAAGGAAGTGAAGGGTAACTTTGCAAAGGAGATGGGAAGTAGTGATTGGACAGGCAGAAGGAAAAATCCAGGGACCAAGAGAAAATAGTATTCAAAGAAGGAAGATACTCATGTGACATGTTGAGTAAGATGGTGCTTGCCAAAGGGTCCTCAGACTAGATGAGAGATTGCAGGAGCCTGGGAGAAGGGAGAATGAGGAGTGACTGCAAATGATCATATAGTTTCTTTTTGGGGTGATAAAAGTGTTTGGGAATTAATGATGATGGGGTTGTAAAACATTCCTAGCATACTAAACCCCACTAAACTGTGCGTTTCAAGGAGGAAGTTGAGTAATTCTTTACAGGTATATTCTGTTTTTGTTTATTTATTTATTAATTCATTTTGGTTGTGTTGTGGATCGAACTCAAGGCCTTGAACATGCTCAGCAAGTGCTCTACCACTGAGCCAGGCCCTACCTTCCCCTAGAGAGTCTTCTTTTAAAGAGGGGGCACAAAAGAAGCTGATATCTGAAGCAAAATGGGGAGTCAACAGAGTTTGGATGACTTGTCCTTTTTAAAAAATGGTAGAGACCTAAAAGTGTTTAAATTCTTTTTGGAAGAATCCAGGAGAGAGCTATGGATCTGAAAAAATAATATTGATAGTGTTAAATAATGATATAATTTCAGCAGAGGAAAGAACTTTTGAGACTAATAGAGCCTATTGTTTTCCTAACCCCTGAGATCCATTTCATGTTATAACATGGATGAGAAAAATTCCTATTCAAATTTGAACATTGGGTGGGGCAGGTACCTCAATACCTTTCAGGACCAATCCATTTTATCTTCAAATGATTCTGAGTAGTGGATGAAAATCAACAAGGAGGACTGATTTATAAAATGAGTGGTAATATTACTTTTATAGAATAAAATCTCTCAACTTTAATGGGCTTTCAAATCTTACTGATGGAATGTGCTTTACTCTGACTTCTAGAAGAACCCTGTCCTGTTGGTTACCCAGCCTTTGAGAATTATCTGGTATTAATTGTGTTAGTTCTGTTTTGTTTCCCCATTGTCAGCTTGGTATTCAGTTTTCTTGGCCTTCAACTTTATTTACCACTTATTCATCTGATCTCCAGCTTTCAAAACTCTCTCTCTCTCTCTCTCTCTCTTTCCTTATTCTCCCTGTCCACATTGGATTGATTACACTAGGGTTGAAAAAGTATTTTGAAAGAGTTTCTGGGTTGGTGGTAGATTCCTGGGCTTAATTTTCCTCCTTGACTTTCTGCCCTGGGCCCCAGGGAATATATAACATGTTTTTGTGTCCTTTCACTGTATATTTACTCTCTTGTGTCTGTAAATGAGCCAGATGTTACTAATAAACCATTTCTCTCTTCCCTGGTGTGGGGGCAAGTTTGGAATCTGTTCCTTTATGTTGCTGTCATGATGTATCTAAATTAGCTGGCATCCTAGGTGCTCAAAAGAGATGTGTCATCTCCTTCCTTGAGTCAGAAGGGTATTACTGAATTTCATGGCATTCCTTCTTATATATTTCAGTTTGTAAACTTTCGTGTTTCCAGTTTGCTGAGACTGCTCTGTATCCTTATTCTGTCCCGTGGCATATGAACTCATCTCTCCCAGCTTTGCCTCTGTGCAGATTTGACCACTAAGTCATCAGAGTGCATGCTCTCTTTCTTTGAAAACAATTTTATTTTATTTATATTATTTATTTAGAGTCTTGCTGTGTTACCTAGGCTAGCCTTGAGCTCCTGGGCTTAAGTGATCCTGCTTTAGCCTCCTGAGTAGCTGGCTCTACAGGTGTGCACCACTGTGCCCAGCTCAGAGTTGTCTTTTCAGTCCTTGGGAACAGTTATGGCTGTGACAGGACAAGAGATAGCAGGATAGTCTCAGCATAGTTTGCAGACATTAGGTCTGTTTGTGAAATCATTTAGTCGAGGCTAGGAAGATATATTTAAAGGAATGGGAAGTACCTCCAATTCTTATAAATTTGTTTTTTATTCTTTTTGAATATAAAGGAATTTTCTTTGTAAAAAATTAAAGCAGTAGTTTTTGATCTACTTGAGTGCTAGTGAATTTAGGTGAGAAAAGAAAATTATATTTATTTTCACTAAACTTATAATTTATAGTATAAATTTAATTATAAAATTTGGAAGTGAACTATAGTGGCTTTAGCAACATATTTGACTTTGTCACTAGAAATCACAGGCATTTTTATATCACATTGCAGTTGTTAAATCTTAAAATATTATTTCTGGGGGCTGAGGCTGTAGCTCAGTGGTAAAGTGCTTGCCTCCTATGTGTGAGGCACTGGGTTCAATCCTCAGCACCACATAAAATAAATAAAGATATTGCGTGTTCATCTACAACTAAATAAAAACTGAAAAGTACAGCGGTTATCAGAACTGTCACTAGAGCTTGTCATATATTAACTTAAAAAGTGTATTTTGAGGTATTATAAATTTTTTCTTTAATGTTTTGATAACCTTATTTAAATCGGTTTTTCATTAATATTATATATTTTATTTTATTCATTTGAAAATGTTAGATCATTAAAAAATGGGTCCATGGAACCTAGATTCTGAATCCTTGCCCCAAAGAGACAAGTATTTGCAAAGGAATGTGTAATTGTTTATAAAAACTAGTATTTTATCTTAGATCTCCAGCTATTCCTTTATCTGGTATCAGTCATTAAAATTTGCTTCTTAGCAAGTGATTATAGCTTTTAAAGATAGTTGAAAAGACATTTTATTTTCACTGAAATAAATTCAGATGGTATTTGAAAACAATAACAAAACAACAAAACTCCTCTTGAAATCAATTTAAATATCTGAACTGATCCTTCTAGTTACATAGGTTACTTTTGAAGTTTCAGGATTTAAGCACCATTTCTGTTAACCTTGGCTAACTCACTAGATTTGTATCAGGCTATCAGGACCCGAAACTCAGTAAATTTCGGGTTACATTTTAATTCATGGCTTAGCAGCCACAGATTCTAAGTACGTTTGATGGCTAGTGATATAAAGCTTTGTTTTATGTTAATTATGTTGAAAGCCCTTAAAAATTGTGTTCTCCCATTGGACATCTTCTGGCTCTCTCCCAGGAGCTATCCTTATACTGGTGTTGCTTGGGTGGGACTTGAGTTTGTCAGGGCAGGTGCCTAGCATGGGCTCCCTCCTTGGGTCAGCAGTGGGGGCTGGGCAGAGACCAAGAGACTTGAGGTCAAGTTTCTTGCCTCAGACACCTTGGAACATTGCTAGTGTTAAAGCTCCAGTGCCAGTTCTTGTTTAACTGACCTGAACTTGATACTTCAGTTTTATGTTGCCTGAAGTAGATCTGCTGAGTTGCTCTAAAAACTTAAATAAAGCATGAAGCCCTCAATTTTTGGTGCAGTAAGTTCCCACTCTTTGGACGGAGCACCTCAGGGTGCATAAGTAGCCCTCATGGATCCCAGGAGGTTGTCTGTTGGGAAGTGTGACTGTATTTTCCTCAGCCCTCTCCCTGCTCCCTGTAGGGAGGAGAGATGGCTTTTAATTCATGAAAGTAACTACTAGGTTCTATTGACCTACATACAGTGTCCCCCTTACCTTTATAATGCTGTGTTTATCACACTCCTCACAAGATTGGTCCCTGCCAAAAGGCCTATTGTAATGATGAATGTTTTACTTAACCAAACAGCTCAATTCACTGTTAATAAGAGTGGTAATAACATTTAAGTGTTTTCTTTGTGCCAGGCACATTTGAAGGACTTTACCTATTTTTTTTTTTTAATGTAATCCAATATCAATCCTTATGAATGCTAGCTGCTGTCATTAACTTTGTTTCAACAGATGAAGAAACCAGGACTCCTAGAGGTAAAGTAACTTGCTCAAGTTCTTACCCAGTACATGGCAGAGTGAGAATTTGAACCAAAGCAGTCTGACTCTGGAGTTCAGACTTGAATCTGCTTTCTTATTAATTCTGCTTGTTGAATTAGAGCAATTTCAGAAGTGCTTCTGTGAAGTTGCAGGAATAGTTAACCAGTAGGTTCTGACATGCTACGTAAGTTTTGTCATATTGACAACATGAAATTGAGCAAGCGCATCTCAAACTGCTATAGGTATTTTACTTGAAAATCCTGAATGCAAGTTTTTAATGTTAAGTTTATTTATGTTTGTAGGGATGCTTCCTTTGGAAATTGCACTTACAATCTCACCATCCTCGACTGTTTACAGGGAATCAGAAAGGTAATAACATTTTTTTTTTCTTTTTGCTGTAGTTTGTACAGTAGTTTAAAAAAACAGAAAAGGAATAATTCCAACACCCTTGTTTGCCATTGGAGAAGAGAGAGGGGAGCTAGTGAGCTCTGAAGGGTTTTCGTTTCCTGAATGATGATTGATTTGAAAAGTACAGCTGGCCCTCAGTATCTATGGGTTCCTCCTCGATGATTCAGCCGACCTCAGATGGAAAATATTTGGGGAGTGAAAAAAAAACCAGAACAAAAACAAAAAACCCGGCTTCTCTACTCTACATTATAGACTTCTCCTCCTTACCATTATTTCTTAAACAATACAATATTATCTAGCATTTACATTGTATTTGGTATTATAAGTCATTTAGAGATGATTTAAAGTACATGGGAGGATGCATGTAGGTTATAAGCAAATACTGCACCATTTAATAATAGGGGATTTGAGCATTTGCAGAGTTTGGTTTCTGTGAAGGATACTGGAACCAACCCCTTTGGATATGGAGGGAGACTGCACAGACAATAGGGTAACCTGGGTGGAGAGACGCCTCTCTTTCTCATTTAAACTATTTGTGTTTTGGGCCAAATTGATCACTTCTACCTGAAGCTGTGCCAGTGACATTTCTTTGTTACCCACTGAGCTTCATTATCAAGCTAGATCTTGGTGGGAGAGAGACAGGAAGTTATCTAAGCCACTGTTCTGTTAATTCACCCCTGCCCATGACTGACTGAGTCATAAACTCTGGGGGTGGGGCCCTTTGGTCTGTGTTTTAACAGCCCCTCCAGATAATTTGATACACTTTGAAGTTAGTTAGTTGTGTTTTATATTTTTGGGATATGTTTAATTTATAAACTGAGAAGACATGCAAGCTATCCTGTGATTACTCTTAACGAGTTCTGAAAGTACACAATTCCATCTTGGACGTAAAGTTGTGATTTGTTATCAGTCAGAAATGTATGTGTTATGTAACCCATTGGTTATATAGTGTCAGTATATATATATAGTGTCAGTAGGATGCTAGCACAAGTTTCTTTTTTGTAATATAAAATTGGTTTTGATATGTTTGAATTGAGATAAACAGTTTATTATTATTATGCTGCTTGTTTTATGTATGCTTGTTTCTGACTTTGATATTTTATTTGTTTTTTCTGTGGTGCTGGGCATCAAATTCAGGGTCTTGTGCATGCTAGATTAGTGCTCCATGACTGAGCTACCCTGTCCCCAGTCCTGATATTTTGTTTAAAAAATGATTTTAAAGCCTCTAAGATTTGAAAATAGTTTTCATAAATTTTTCTTCTCATAAAAGCTATAAGGATGCTTTAGCCCACCCTTGCCAACAGTATAATGGAAATACACTTCCAGAAATACTAGTTAAAAGATTTTATGGAGATATTACCCAACACATAACCCATAATTATAGCATTTAGAGAAAATGCCTGAGAGGAAAAAGTGATTTACTTATTGTCATTATTATTGTTATTTAGCCTATCCTTCCATCTGGTAGGTGCTGCTTCTTTTACAACACAAAATTCAGAAAGAGTTCTCACTGGAATATCCCTGACCGTTATTATGGTAACTGGTGTCTCAATATAGAAATTCATGACATGCTTCCTGTTGTACAGGAAAGGTGGACTTTAGTCATGAATACAGCCTTCTCTAAACTTATTGTTTTCTCAGATGGTGGGGTCTTCCCAAATATAGATGAGATTTTAAAGGATCTGATAGATGTTCCACACATCTTTAAGCAAGGGAGAAGTCTTGGCCTGTGTATACTACCTTACATGATGTACCATGTTCTGGGCTGTTTTTATGGTGGGGAGAACCCTTGTGATAATGAGCACTCAAAGTGTGGCCACATTTTTGCCTTTTTAGGGAAGATATTTTTCTGGCTTTGATGTCTTAACATTGTCATAAGCGTAGGTCATATGTTATGTGAACATGCAGACACATATGCAAGCATACACTTTAAAAATAAGGAGAAACGAAGAAAAGTAGATTGTTTAGAACATATTTTTCTCACTGTTTTCTCTGGAATGGTGAGTATAAATGAACAAAGTTGCTTTTTAAAAGGTTTAACTTGTTCTGCTTTTTGGGAACGAATTGCCTATACCAGTATTGTCAGAATTTAGAATTTATAAGAATTACCTAGGAGAGCATGTTAAAGTGCTGATTCTGTGCCCCATCTAGCAGTTCTGGGAAGGGGCCCAAGAATCTGTCTTTTTTTTTTTTAAATATTTATTTAGTTGTAGATGAACACACAGTATCTTTATTTTTATGTGATGCTGAGGATTGAACCCAGTCCCTCACACATGCAAGGCAAGCACTTTACCACTGAGCTACAGCCTCAGCCCAAGAATCTGTCTTTTAACATAAACTACCTTAAGTGTTTTGATGCTGGTGACCTGTGGCCTGTATTTTGAAAAAATACTCTAAAGGTTTTTCGAAGCTGGAAGTACTGGAGCTTAGCTTGTTAGTTTCTTTTTCTATTTTTAATGATTTGACCATATAATTTTTAAAGTACCTGTGGGTTTGTAATCTGTATCACTTCAGGTTTTATAAAATAGAAGATTATTTGTCTTCCTGAAAATATTAGATCTGAACAAGCTAAATAATTTTTAAAAGTTCTAAGTCATAAGTTAGAAAAATAAGTATGAAGCTTTTTTGTTTGTTTTGTTAAAAATTTCAGTTTTTTTTTCCTTCTAACATCAGACTAACATCAGAAAACAGAATGTCTCAAAGTAGAATTTTAGAAGTAAATTAGAAATTAAAAATGCCCTTTTTGGTTAAATATTATTAAAGAAAACAAAACTTTCTAAGAATAACTGATTATTTTTCTATCTGATAAGTTAATTACTCTAATATTTATTCTGTCATAGGTATAGTTCTCAGTAAGCTTTAATCATAAATTTGCTAATTTGTCCCATTTTATATGCGTTATTAACTTTAAGTAAAATTAATATAAATTAGCACCCAAGAGACATCCTGTGTGGGACCACTGTTATGAAATGATTTCTAGAGATGCATAAAATTAAGTTTCAAGCTCTTATGTTATTTTTTTAATTGGGAATTTCAGAAATGATGAGTGTATTCCATCAATTAAGTATAAAAACTAACTGAAATTCTTCTTTTAGGGATTACAACATGGATTTTTTGACTTTGAGACATTTGATGTGGAGGAATATGAACATTATGAGGTTTGTATATTTAATATTTTTGCAAAATATAATTTCATATTGATTATTATTTTTTCCCATCTAACTGCTAAATAAAAGCATTCTTGAATCCCCCCACCAATTGTTTTGTTTTTTCAGCTTTGTTTATTATCGTTGAACCAAGGATCACCAAAATTTTAATTTAGGAAAACGTCATGTATCTCTATATATTCTCTTACCAAACTTTATTGACAATCACTTTGTACCTTTGGAAGAAAAAATAATTTTGAAGTATAGTTTGGTAAATTATAAGCTACTTTTATTTGAAAATTCAGTTTCATTTAAAACAAAACTGGATATATACCTTACAGTGCTCTTGAGGGTATGTATTCTATTTTGAAGCAGAGTTGAATGCACTTAGTTCTAAGAGTTCATTGAACTTTTTCTCATGTTATGAGGCTTTCAGGTGATGTCTTGTCTGTGCATTTAGGCAGTGGCTGTCCAGGCTGGGTCAGACCATAGCAGATGTTGAAGAAGGGCACTCTGTGAGCAGTGTAAGGAGTCCAGAACTTTTTAACTTTTTCTGAAAGATGATAAGCCTGTGGAGTGTGAGGAGGCTTGACATTCTCTGAACGTGAGCTCATCTGCTTGGTGCCCGCAGGGAAGTAGGAAAATGTATCACTATTCTTTGAAAGACCAGGAATGGCCTTCATGTTTTGGGCTCTAGTCCAGGCTATGTCTACTTGAATATCCTGCCTGCATGTTACATTTAACGATTCTAAACAAATCTTTCATCCAAACACCATCTTTTGCTTTGTTCATCTGTGTTGATGGTGTCACCGTCCTACTGTTTGCCCAGGTTCAAGACTAGAAGCATCCGCATTTTCCCCTCCCTAATCTAGTGTTTGAATTCCCGTCACTGGTGCCACAGGATGTGTTCCTCTCTTCCTTCCTCTCTCTTCCCACCCAGCCTAGGTCTCATATGGTCTCCCGTGGACTACTATTGCTGCTCTCTGCCTGAGTGCCGGCCTTCTCCTCCCAGGCTGCCTGAGTAATCCTAAAACTGAGCTCTCATCTTATTTTCTTCTTGGCCCCAAACTGGCTGTGGGTCCCATTAACCTGCTGAAGGAGGATGCACTCTTCTGCCTGGAATTCTTGGCTCTGTTCAGCTCCACCTACCTCATGGCCTCATCTCCTGGTTCTATACCATCTGCACTTTCTGTTCCAGCCCCTCTGAGCTGCATACTTGCTGTTTCTCAAATGTCTCTATGCCCCAGCTGAGCTTGCTTTCTCCTAGCTTTTCCCCTCCCTTAACTCTCCTCTCCTGACTGTACCTCTAGAGTATTCCCTTCCCATTACTTTCATGTTTTATAATTTATGTTTTCCTTTTTTCTCACATCATGGCTATGTGCCCACAAGCTTTATTTTCTTTATTGGATCATAAATACCCTGTGGATGGGATTTTTCCAAGTGGAAAAGCATACTGTTTTCTTCTTTAGAACATCTTGACATAATGAAATTGCTACTTCTCCAAAAATTAATAAATTTAGTGCAATCTATTAAAAGTTCACAGTTTTTAAAAAACTATAGAAGTATTTTTGTGGCATTTGTATAGTAGTGAAAGAATCCTTTCTTCAAAACAGAAGACTAGAAATGGAGGGATGTACACCTAATAAGGGAGATGGCTGGATTATTTGTGGTTCATGTACATCATGGATGTGATATGAACATTTAAAAAAATGAATTCAGTGATACTACCCAGGATGATTTCTATATTGTATTGTTGAAAAGACACAGAGGGTGTTTATAATCCTTTTAAAGTAAATAAAATATAACAAGACACTCCCATCTTATACAAATTATATGTATGATGCTACATGATATATATTACATAGGCACAGAACTGATATATTTTGAAGTTAATGAAGTTTAAATGTTGAGACCTCTTATTTACATAGGTGCTTGTTAATGTTCTATACCAATTCTATGATAGTATTTTTTTTTTTTTTTGGTATTAGGGATTAACCCAGGGGTGTCTTTTTATTTTTTATTTTGAATTGATGAGGGCCTTGCTAGTTTGCTGAATCTGGCCTTAAACTTGTGATCCTCTTGTCTCAGCCTTCCAAGTCCCTGTGTGTGTGCCACCTGTAGGAATATGGAATAAAAATTCTGGATTTTTAAAGTGAGTCTCCAAATTAGATAAATTTTAGGTCCTCCTCCCCAGAATAATTCAGATCTGTACTCCATATATGTAAGCAGGGAGAAAAACAGATGGCCAAACACTAAAGCAATTTTAATAAAAAGAGAGATTGATGAGGGATGCAGAAGGAAAGGAAGGAACAAACACTACAATAAAGAGGACAAGCTCACTGATGTTTTACTTATTCCTTCATCCACCTCTTCCTTTCTTTCGCTCTGTCTTTTAACTTTGATGTCAATGTTCAAGGTGACTTGAAAGCACTGTTGAAAAACCTTAAGCACATAGTGCAATTCAGTTCTTACAACCAACCAAGCAACCAAGCAACCAACCAAACATCTGGTGGGAGTGAGCTTCATCCTCTGAGCTAACAACCACCATCCAGGGATTGGGAGGGGAGTAGTGGGTTTTGGTGAACATTTGAAAAGTTTGCTGTCAAACATCTTCCGTTTTGAGAATGATGTATCTATTCCATTATAAAGCCCATAAAAGAGGAAAATCACAAATTGAAGTGTTTGGCATTTCATAAATGTTAGCTTTATGAATAAATGAGTAAAGAAAGGACTGTCTTTGCCAACACTTTGGGGCCCAGTCACTTCCTGCCAGAGCTTGGTGTCTTGCTGTCTGCCCTGCTCCGAGGGTGAGTCTGGACATTTGGCGAACTTATGAGGAGGAGCTGAATTTCTACACTTCATTAACTCCAGCAGAGTCAGCATTCCAATGAAGGCATTGTAATTTTCAAAGTAAAATTTTATCACCAACAGCAATTTGTGAGAATATCACCTTGATGACTAGGGGATATTCAGGATGAGACCTTTCAAAGACACTTCCTCACTAAAGTACATCCAATATATAATATGGCTCAAGAAAAAGCCTAAACCAACAAGACTTTGTCTCTAGGTGATATTAAAGGGGACTTTTATGATCAGAATGCTACTTACAAATGTAAACATTGAGGACAGCCGAACATGGAAGATATCTGTTGAATACAGTCTCTATGTAAACCTCTGCTCATTCTGCCAAAGGTTGTATCTGTCTTTATCCTGTAATTCAAAGATCTACAGCAGCACTGTCTACTAGAAATATTATGAGAGTGATATGTATTTTAAATATTCTAGTAGCTGCATTTAGAAAGGGTAAAAAAGAAAGAAAATTAATTTCAATTATAGATTTTACTTAATGTAATATATTTAAAATGTCATTTCAATGTGTAGCCAATTCAAAATCATTAATGAGATATTTTACATTTAAAAAAAATTTGTTCTTTTTAGTTATTCATGACAGTATATTTTGATATATTTATACAAACATGGAGTATATTTTATTTTAATTAGGATCTCTGTCTTGTGGTTATATATGATGTGGAGATTCACTGTGGTATATTCATATATGTACATAGGAAAGTTATGTCAGAGTCATTCAACTGTCTTTCCCGTTCTCATCCACACTTCCTTCCCTTCATCTAATCAAATGAACTTCTGTTCTTCCCCCTCCCTAGTTTGTTAGCATCCACATATCATTTGGCATTTGGTTTTTTGAGATAGGCTTATTTTGCTTAGCATTTTAGTCTCCAGTTCCACCTATTCATTTACTAGCAAAAGACATAAAGTCATTTTTTATGTCTGAGTAATATTCCAAATGTGTATATATACCACATTTTCTTTATCCATTCATCTGTTGAAAGGCACCTAGGTTGGTTCCATAGTTTAGCTATTGTGAATTGAGCTCCTTTTAACATTGATGTGTTACTAGAGTATGCTGATTTTAAGTCCTTAGTGAGAAAAGGGAAGCAGGAGGTATCACAATACCAGACCTTATACTGCAGAGCTACAGTAACAAAAACAGCATGGTATTGGCACCAAACAGACATGAAGACCAACAGAACAGAATAGGAGATGCAGAGACAAACCCACATAAATATAGTTATCTCCTACTAAACAAAAGTGCTAAAAACATACATTGGAGAAAGATACTTTCTTCAACAAATGGTGCTGACAAAACTGGAAATCCATAGAGAGCAGAATGAAATTGAAGCCCTGTCTCTCATTCTGCACAAAACTCAACTCAAAGTGGATCAAAGACCTAGGCATTAGTCATTTTACAGTTTTTAAGTGCTTTGAGATCTAGTGTGTGCTTTACCCTGTGGCATACCTTAATTTGGTGTGGAAACATTAGTACATAGAAGCCACATGTAGCTAGAGTGCAGATTCTGCAAGAATGGCAGGCTGGCTAGGGTGCTAGTATAGTCCATCAGTGTGACAGGAAGCCTAGCAGAAGCAGAACAGGTTATATTTCTTGCTTTTTGTGATCTAATTGTTCACTGGAGAGTTCATTTCAAGGCCTTGTCATGTTCAGAAAGCTTGGGGTAAGATATCTCAGGCTCTTGCTTTATTTTCATGTTTCTTGCAAATGACACATCACATTAAGTATTGATATAAGCAAGAGGGTTGGTTTCCATTTTGTGAAAGTCTTTCAAAACCTGGTCTTTCCAGGTCCTTTGCCAACCTCTTGTGGAATTCTGCAGTTCCTCACATTTGCACTAATCAAACATACAATTCTGGCAGCTATGCAGGGAAAGTCCAGAAAAGGAACTGCAACTTTTGGTAATCCAAAGTTTCCTGTAGGAATCAGTGTCAGACATTCCTACCTTTTCCTACAGGCTTCTTAAGGTATTCTCAGAGAACTTGAAGACTAAGAGAGCAACCACGGCTTTGCCGTCTAGCCATAGACCAGTTCAGAAATTAAAAAAATAAATAAATAAACCTTTTGTCCTAGGCAAAAACAATGAGGATGAAAGAGTTTGCATATTCTTCTAAATAATATATCTGTAGGTGTGTGAGAATCT